GCTAGGAAAGGCAAGCCATTTAGATTTCTAAACTGTCTTGCTTCTCATCCGGAGTTTCTTGCAGTTGTGTCCTCTCATTGGGATATTTCTATTATTAGGAATCCTATGTTGCAGGTTTGGAAGAAATTGAAGGTTGTCAAAACTGGCCTTAAGAGTATAAACACTAAGCATTTTGCTAAAGTTACTGATAGACTAGAAGAAGCTAGACTCTCTTTAGCTGAGATTCAGTCCCTGTTAGCAGAGGATCTTACTAATATTTCTCTCCAAGCTCAGGAAGCTGCTAGAATTGAAGAAGTGAAATATTGGATGAATACTTATGAGAGTATTTTAAAGCAGAAATCTAGAGCAGATTGGATCAAGCTAGGAGACTCTAATTCTCATTATTTCTTTTCTGTTCTTAAGCAAATGCAGAACAGGAATAGAATTGACTTCATTTACAATACTGATGATATTCTGCTTAAGGATCCTATTATGGTGCAAGATGAAATTATTGGCTTTTATAAGAAGTTGCTGGGGTCTGCTGCTAGCACTTTACCAGCTGTTGACATTGTTGTGGTAAGGGCAGGAAAACATCTTACTTCTGAGGATATTGCTACTCTTTCTTCTCCTGTTTCTCACTTTGACATTGATCATGCTTTAGCTAGTATTGAAGATGATAAAGCCCCTGGTATAGATGGGTTCAATGCTGTGTTTTTCAAGAAAACTTGGAGTCATGTGAAAACTGATATTTACAAAGCTGTTCTGAATTTCTTTGACACTGGTGTGATAGAGAAGTCTTGGAGCTGTACTACTCTCACTTTGGTCCCAAAAATACAGAACCCTTCTTATGCAAAAGCTTACAGACCTATAGCTTGATGTACTCTAGTTTATAAATTGATCTCTAAGGTCATTACTACTAGATTAGCAAAAGTTGTTGGGTCAGTTGTGAATGATACTCAAGTTGGTTTTATACCTGGGAAGCACATTGGTGACAATATAATGCTTGCTACAGAATTTATTAAAGAGTATTCTCATAAATATGTTACCCCTAGGTGTATGTTGAAGATAGACTTAAGGAAAGCTTATGACTCTGTGGAATGGAGCTTCCTTAATACTATGCTGGGTGAACTGGGTTTTCCTAACAAAGTTATTGGTTGGATTATGGGGTGCATTACTTCTGTCTCTTACTCAGTTATGATCAATGGTTACCCTTCTGCTCCCTTTCAGGCAAGGAAAGGGCTAACGCAAGGTGATCCCATGTCCCCTTTCCTCTTTTCTCTTTGTATGTATGGAATATCTCTCTAGGTGTTCGCAGGACATGACTAAAAATCCAGATTTTAACTTTCATCCTAGGTGTGAAAAACTTGGGATTACCCATCTGATGTTTGCAGATGATCTTTTGCTATTTGCTAGAGCTGATTTGTATTCTGTTCAGCTTCTTTTCAAGGCTTTTCAGAAATTTTCTATGGCTTCAGGATTATCTGCAAATCTGGATAAAAGTGATGCCTATTTTGGAGGTATCTTAGCTCAAGAGAGAGGTGAGCTTCAGCGGGTTCTTGGGATGGCTAATGGCTCATTGCCTTTTAGGTACCTTGGTGTACCTCTTTCTTCTAAAAAGCTCACTATCTCTGAATGTAGGCCTTTAATTGAAAAGGTTACAGGAAGAATTGACACTTGGGCTGCTAAACACTTATCTTATGCTGGAAGACTTCAATTGGTTAAAAGTGTTTTGTTTGGGATCCAAGCTTTTTGGGCTCAAATTTTTGTGTTGCCAAAGAAAATTCTCAAGGAAATTGAGTCCAGATTTAGATGTTTCTTATGGACTGGGAAAGGTAACCCCACGAAGAAAGCTTTAGTGGCTTGGAGTTTTATGTGCTTACCTAAGTCTTGTGGGGGCTGGAACTTAACTTCTTTAGAAGAATGGAACAAGGCTGCTATTACCAAGATTCTTTGGGATCTTGATAGTAAATCTGACAATCTCTGGGTTAAATGGGTTCACATATACTATTTTGCTGGGAAGACTCTGTGGACTGCTCCTATTCCCAAAAAAGCATCTTGGATTTTGAAAAAGATCCTTGCTTCTAGAGATATTGTGAACAACATAAGTGGATGGTCAAATGTTACTGTAAATGGTAAAATGCAGATTAAGAAGCTTTACAGTATCATCAAACCTCATGGTCCTAAGGTTCCTTGGAAGAGAATCATTTGTAATAATCAAACTTCCCCAAAAAGCATTTTTATCACTTGGCTTGCTGTATTGGGCAGACTGGTTACTAAAGATAGGCTTTTGGCCTGGCAAATTCATTGTGATCCTTGCTGTTTCTTCTACAATAATGCAAATGAAACTGTGAGCCACTTGTTTTTTGACTGCAATTACTCTAAGGTAATTTGGACTGTAATGTTACAGATCTTTGGGTTCAGTAGACCTGTGCTAAGTTTTTCTGATGAGTTGACTTGGATTTCAAAGTATGGCAGAAAGACTGATGTTAGAAGTAAACTTATTGTCATGTGCTTCTCTGAGACTGTTTACAATATATGGCTGCAAAGGAACTCTTTGATGTTCACAGGCAACTACAAACCAACTTCTGAGCTGATTAGGGAGATAGTCTTTCTTGTTGCTTGCAGATGTAATAGCTCTGATAGATATTTGATGTATTCTGTCTAGTTTTGTTGTCCTGGTCCTTGCTCTTAGTACCCTTCCTGGAAGGTGACTAAGTCTTGAGTCCAGTTAGTGTTTCTGGTTCTGCCTAGAACCCTTCCTAGAAGGTGGCTAGGCTGAACTTGATTCTGGTTTTTTTTGTTTGTTTTGTTGGCTCGGTTGGGTTTGTGATGTTTGGGTGTTACAGCTTAGCTCTATTGTAAGTTGTAATTGTTCTTTTGGTAATAAAATTCCTATTTACCAAAAAAAAAAAAGTCAAACACATTCAAACAAAGATTTTTGAATAAAATGAAAGTTAAACACAGTCAAATAATTTTTTTTCGATCGAAATACAATCAAACAAATTCAATTAAAGCTTTATGAATCAAAAGAAAGTCAAACACATTATAAAAATTCTTTTTGAATCGATAAAAAGTAAAACACATTCAAACAAAGGTTTTTGAATCAAAAGAAAGTCAAACACATTCAAACAAAGCTTTTTGAATCAAATGAAAGTCAAACACATTCAAACAAATATTTTTAAACATATAAAGTCAAACACATTCAATAATAGTTTTTTGAATCAAATGAAAGTCAAACACATTCAAACAAAGCTTTTACAATCAAATGAAAGTCAAACACATTCAAATAAATCTTTTATAATCCATATAAAGTCAAACACATTCAAACAAAGCATTTTGAATCAAATGAAAGTCAAACACATTCAAACAAAGCTTTTTGAATCAAATAAAAGTCAAACACATTCAAACTAATCTTTTTGGATGCAATATCAGTTGAGATAAATTGTTTTGAATCGTTGACTTGCGTTGACTTTCTCTCTTCTCTCTCTTCTCCATGGTTCTTCATCTTTGATTGGTTTCTTCATCAATTTTGAATTTCAATGGCTAAGAAGAAGAAGTAGACTATTTCTACACCTCAAGTAGCGCAACAAAAGACTGCTCATGAAGCTTTTGATTCGATATTGCAGAATTTGAGAAACTCAGGCACATCTTTTGTTCCTAGTCCGATTCAAGAGGTGGATGAGTTGGTTACTCCGGCGCCGGCGTTAGTGCATCCAGCTTGTAGATCTATTCCCAGAAGTGATGCTGAGACCATTGCTCTCTTTTCTGAAGCTACTGCTAGGCCGGATTTAAGACAATCCAATAGAACAGTACCTAGGGTTTCTGGGTTTACTGTTCCATTAGGTTCTGGTGGATTTGAGCATCGTGCTGAGCCAGGAATTCATCCTCGCCATTCCTCACCCTCTTTAGAGCAGAACACACACAAGAATAGTGAGGATTGAGCTGCTTCTTCCCCTGCTCAGGAGCTGAATTTGCGCAAGAACAATGAGAATCGAGCTGCTCCTTTTACTGAAAATTTGGCTGCTAAAGGGGCTTCTTTGTCTTTTGTTGCTCCGAAAGTCCAGGAAGGGAAACAAATTGCTGAGCTACAGGCAGCCGAGCTTGAGGCAGGTAATCAAAAATGGGCTAATGCTTTAGTTTTCTATGTGATTGGCTTTTACCCCACTATTGTTGTTGTTCTTCGATTTTTTGCTCAACAATGGAATGATATGCAAAAACCAGATGTTTATTGGCATGATGATGGGGTACTTTATCGTTAATCTTTGTTCTAGTGATGATAAAGATACTATACTTTGTTCTGGTCCTCATATGTTCCTTGGAAAACCAGCAATAGTGAAGCCTTGGTGTCCTAATTTTGATTTTAATGCTGAAATTCTTAGAACTGTTCCTCTCTGGGTTAAGTTCCCTAATCTCACACTTAATTGTTGGGGATCTGACACTCTTAGCCGCATTGGTAGTTTGCTTGGAGTGCCAATTTGTGCTGATGAATGTACTACTAGACAACTTAGAGTGTCTTTTGCTAGGGTTCTAATTGAAATTGATGTTACAAAGCCTATGCCTAATTCTGTATGGGTTGAGAGTCCTTCAAAGGAACTATTGGAGCTCAAAGTAGTGTATGAGTGGGCCCCACCTTTTTGTTCTAAGTGCAACAAGGTTGGTCATGATTTCTCTGTTAAGCATGTTATGTCTAAGCAGGTTCCTAAGCAGCCGACTCCTGTTCCTCCTAAGAAAAAGCAGGTCGAGGTTCCTAGCCAAGCCCCTGCTCCTGCTCCTGCTACTGTTGTTGATGTTGGTGCTTCTGTTCATGGAAAATCTATCATTACTCCATAGGTTCATACCTCTCAAAATTCAAATGAGGGGTGGAGAATAGTTGGAAGGAAGACAAAAATCCAACAAACTAGAGTTCATCAACCTGCTTCCGCCTCTAATGCTTTTGTTGCTTTATTTGTAAATGAAATGGATGGTGCAGGTGGTTTCACTATAAATCCAAGCGGGGGTGAGGTTAATCCCCCTTTGGTGTCATGATTTACTCTATTTGGAATGTCAGGGGCCTGAATGACCCTGGCAAAGTTGCCTCTGTAAAGAGGTTGCTTCATTCTCATTCAGTTGATGTTGTTAGTTTACTTGAAACAAAAATCAAATTGAAAAATGTTCTCACTTATCAGAGGAATTTTGGCTCTTCTTGGCTTTGGTTGTGTAATTATGACCATTCTCCCAAAGGGAGGATTTGGCTTGGTTGGATTGCAGATATAGTAACTGTTAATGTCTTGAAGGTTCATGAACAGTTCATTCATTGTAGTGTTTCTTCTAAGGACCTTTCTACTCAAATTCATCTTACTGTTGTTTATGGGCTTCACTCCATTCATGATAGGCTTCCTTTGTGGGAAGGTCTTAGAAGCATCTCTATTCATCATTCTCCTTGGCTTTGTGCTGGTGACTATAACTCTGTCCTTCATACTTCATATAGGCTTCATGGTACTGATGTTACTGATTATGAGACTAGAGATTTTCAGAGTCTGGTTGATGATTTGGACCTCACTGAGATTAAGAGAAAAGGAGCCTTCTACTCTTGGTCAAATAAGGCTCACACTGGTCCTAGAACTCTTTCTAGGATTGATAGAGTCTTTGGTAACCAAGCTTGGCTGGCCTCTCATGGGCATGTTGGGACTGTCTATCTCCCCCCTCTTTATCTGATCATAGTCCAGTTCTGTTGGATGTATGTTCTGCCCCTGTTGGGAGAGGTAGGCCATTCAGGTTTCTCAACTGTATTGCTGATCACCCTGATTTTCTTGATACTGTTTCTCAGGCTTGGGGTTCTAGTTGTTCTGTTTGGTAGAAGCTTAATTCTGTGAAGTCTAGTATTAAGTCTCTTAATAGCAAGCAGTTTGGACACATCGAGGAAAAGATTGAACAAGCTAATATTGAGCTTTCTGGAATTCAGAACTTAATGGCTCAGAATCCTGATGATTTGGATCTTTATGCTAAAGAATCTGATGCTATTAAGGTTGTCAAACACTGGAATGATATTCAGGAAAGCATCTTCAAACAAAAATCAAGGATCAATTGGATTAAGCTTGGAAATGGAAATTCTCATTATTTCTTCTCTGTGATGAAGAGTAGAAAAGCAAGGAATAGAATTGACTCCATTTTTTTTATTCTAATCAGGTGTTGCTCAAGGATCCGGATGCTATTTCTCATGAAATTATCTCCTTCTATAAGTCTCTTTTAGGGACTCAGGCTCCTTGGCTCCCTATTGTTGACCTTGTCACTATGAGGAGGGGTAAGCAGCTTAGCTTTGCTGCTCAGAGCTATCTCATTAGGTCTATTTCTCATGATGAAATTGATGCTGCCCTTAAGGGAATTGATAACACTAAAGCTCCTGGTATTGATGGCTTTAACTCCCTTTTCTTTAAGAGAGTTTGGCATATTGTGAAAGATGATATTTATGTTAGTGTTATTGAATTTTTCACTAAAGGGACCTTGCCTAAGCAATGGAATTGTATAACTATCACTCTGGTTCCTAAAATCCCTAATGCTTCTCATGTTAAGGATTTTAGACCTATAGCTTGTTGTACTGTGGTTTATAAGCTCATTTCTAAAATCATAACTGCTAGACTTTCTGCTATCATTGGTGAGGTGATTCATGATGCTCAGGTAGGGTTCATTCCAAGCAAGCACATTGGTGACAATATTCTTCTTGCAACTGAATTGATCAAAGGCTATGATCACAATTTATCTCTCCTAGGTGCATGGTTAAGGTGGATTTGAAGAAAGCGTATGATTCAGTTGAGTGGGGATTCTTGATCACTGTTATGTAGGAGCTTGGTTTCCCTCAGAAATTTGTTAGCTGGATCTGGACTTCTCTTACTTCTGTCTCCTATTCTATTCTTATTAATGGTTTTCCTGCTCCTCCCTTTGAAGCTAAGAAAGGCCTAAGGAAAGGTGGCCCTATGTCTCCCTTTCTTTTTGCTATTGATATGGAATACCTCTCCAGATGCCTTGATGAGATTAGGTTAACTCCTAATTTCAACTTTCATCCTAGATGTGAAAAGTTAAACCTAACTCACATGATGTTTGCTGATGATCTTATGATGTTCTCTAGAGCTGATAGTGTTTATGTTAAGCTCCTCTTCCAAGCCTTCTTAAAATTCTCGGGTGCCTCTGACTTTCTGCTAATCTTGATAAAAGTGAAGTCTATTTTGGAGGAGTTCCTATTGATGTTCAGACAGAGCTGAGGGAGCTTCTTGGTGTTTCTCAAGGTACTATCCCTTTTAGGTATCTTGGGGTCCCTTTCTCTTCTAAGAAGCTTACTATTGCTCAGTGTAGGCCTTTGGTGGAGAAGGTGACTGCTAGAATCCAAGGGTGGATGGCTAAACACTTGTCTTATGCTGGGAGGCTTTAGTTGGTGAAGAGTGTGTTGTTTGGTATTCAGACATATTGGGCTCAAATTTTCATCTTACCAAAGAAAATTTTGAAAGAGGTCGAGGCTAGATTCAGATGCTTTCTTTGGACTGGTTCCTCTGCCCCTGCTAAAAAATCTTTGGTGGCTTGGAATAATGTCTGTCTCCCTAAAGTTTGTGGTGGCTGGAACTTGCTGTCTCTTCCTGAATGGAATAAAGCAGCTGTCACTAAGTTACTTTGGGATATTGCTCACAAGGCTGATAATCTTTGGGTTAAGTGGGTCCATGTCTATTACTTCAAGCATAGAGATTGTTGGACCACCCCTACCCCTGCTAAATGCTCTTGGTTCTTGAAGAAGATTCTGAGCTGTAGAGATGTTGTGAATGATCAAGGGGGATGGGATGGTTTCATGCAGGGCAACAAAGTGAAAATCAAGAAGCTTTATGCTGCTATTAGACCTCAAGTCCCTAAGGTTCCTTGGAAGAGAGTCATTTGTCATAACTTGGCAACTCCAAAAAGTGTTTTTATCTTGTGACTAGCTTTGCGGAATAGGCTTGTCACTAAGGATAGGTTGCTCCAATGGAACATTTCTTGTGATCCAAGGTGCTTCTTGTGTTTGAATAGCAATGAAAGTGTTCAACATCTATTCTTTGATTGTGAATACTCTAGACAGGTTTGGAACAAGGTGTTGGGTATTTTGCATGTTTCCAAGCTTGTTCAGTAGTTTAGTGATGAGATTGATTGGATGAAGAAAATCTGCAGAAGTTCCAGATTGAAAAACAAAGTGATCCATGTAGCCTTTACTGAAACAGTTTATGGTATATGGATTCAGAGGAATGCAGTCTTGTTTACTGGGTGCTGCAAATCTGTTGATGTCTTTGTTAGGGATATTGTCTTTCATTCAGTCTGTAGAATCCCGGCGGGAAGAAAATTTTTTATTGTTTAGGGCTACTTCTGCTTCTCTGGTTTTCTGGTGTTGTTGCTGGTTCTTGATATTTCTAATTCCTAGTTTCTGAGTGCTGATTTTTAGTTTTGGTTTTGTTCTTGCTGGTTTTCCTTTTGATGCTCTTTAAGGTTATTGAGTGCTTTGTTGTTGCTGCTGGTTTGCTCTTTGAAGCTAAAAAATATAAAGGGGCTGGCTGCTGCTTCTCTGCTACTTGCCCTAATTCCGACTGCTACTGATCTGATTTTGTTGCCCTGCTGCTCTGCTGTTCTGGTGATGTGCTGCAGGCTGCTGCTGCTTTTCTGCTGTTGTTGCCCTGCTGCTTTGCTGCCTTGCTGCTTTGCTGCTGTTGGTGCACTGTTGTGCTGCTGCTGTTCAGTTGTTGTTGCTGTCCTGTGCTGCTGCTCCTCAACTGTTGTTGCTTCTGTTAAGCTGTTGTGATAGTCAGCAGCTGGTCTGCTGTTGCTGTTCTGTTTCCTGCTGACTGCTGCTGAACTGATGTGATGCTGCTGCTTAGTGCAGTGTTGCTTTTGTTGCTGTTGCAGTTGTTTGCGGTTGCTGTTCTGGTTCTGCTAGAGCTGCTGTTTTGGTTTAGGTTGCTGCTGTTTTGGCAGGTGGTGCAGTTTATTTGCTGCTGCTGGTCTGGTGTTTTGGCTAGGGTGGCAGCTAGCTCTGCTCTTCTGCTAGTTCTGTTCTTGTTGCTGTTTGCTGGCTCTGGATGGCAGCTGGTCTGGTGTTTGCTAGGTACTGCTGTTTTGGGTGTGGAAGAGGTTACATGCTTGCAGATTTGATTGTAGATGCCTTGTCTCTATTAGAAAACCTTTGTTTGTTTAGGCTTTTGTTGTTTTGGTGTTTTTGGGTTGTTTGCCTTGTAGTTTGCTGCTAGTGTTGTTGTCTGATCCTGGTTTCCAGAACCCTTCCTAGAAGGTGGCTGGAAATCTGAGTCCAGTTTGTTCTAGGCCCTTCCTAGAACCCTTCCTAGAAGATGGCTAGGATAGGATCTAGAACTGGTTTTTAGGGTTTGGCCTGTTTTACAGGTCTTGTGGTGTTCTGGTGGTAGTTATAACTTAGCTCTTGTAAGTTGTAACTTTCTCTCTTTGGTAATAAAATCTTATTTTCAAAAAAAAAAACTTTTTGGATCGAAATACAGTCAAACACATTAATAAAAAGCTTAATGAATCAAAAGAAAGTCAAACACATTTAAACAAAGTTTTTTGAATCAAATGAAAGTCAAACACATTCAAACAAATCTTTTTAAATCAAATAAAAGTCAAACACATTCAAACAAAGTTTTTTGAATCAAATGAAAGTTAAACACATTCAAACAAATCTTTTTAAATCAAATGAAAGTCAAACACATTCAAACATAGTTTTTTGAATCAAATGAAAGTAAAACACATTCTAACAAAGCTTTTTGAATTAAATGAAAGTCAAAAACATTCAAAAAAATCTTTTTGAATCGAAATAAAGTCAAACAAATTCAAACAAAGCTTTTTGAATCAAATGAAAGTCAAACACATTCAACCAAAGCTTTATGAATCAAAAGAAATTCAAACACATTCTAACAATTCTTTTTGAATTGAAAAAAGGTAAAACACATTCAAACAAAGTTTTTTGAATCAAAAAGAAAGTCAAACACATTCAAACAAAGCTTTTTGAATCAAAAGAAAGTCAAACACATTGAAACAAAGCTTTTTGAATCAAAATAAAGTCAAACACATTCAAACAAAGCTTTTTGAATCAAATGAAAGTCAAACACAATCAAACAAATATTTTTAATTCATATGAAAGTCAAACACATTCAAACATAGCTTTTTGAATCAAATGAAAGTCAAACACATTCAAATAAATATTTTTGAATTAAATGAATATCAAACACATTCAAACAAAGCTTTTTGAATAAAATGAAATTCAAACACATTCAAACAAAGCTTTTTGAATCAAATGAAAGTGAAACACATTCAACAAATCTTTTTGGATCGAAAAACAGTCAAACACATTCAAACAAAGCTTTATGCATCAAAAAAAACGTCAAACACCTTCTATCACGTCTTTTTGAATCGAAAAAAAGTAAAACACATTCAAACAAAGTTTTTTTTTAATTAAAAGAAAGTCAAAAACATTCAAACAAACCTTTTTGAATCAAATGAAAGTCGAACACATTCAAATAAAGCTTTTTGAATCAAAATAAAGTCAAACACATTCAAACAAAGCTTTTTCAATCAAAATAAAGTCAAACAAATTCACACATAGATTTTTGAATAAAATGAAAGTCAAACACATTCAAACAAATCATTGTAGATTGAAATAAAATTAAACACATTAAAACAAAGCTTTTTGAATCAAATCAAAGTCAAACACATTCAAATAAATCTTTTTAAATCGAAATAAAGTCCAACACATTCAAACAAAGCCTTATGAAACAAATGAAAATCAAACACATTCAAACAAATCTTTGTAGATCGAAATAAAGGTAAACACATTCAAACAAAGCTTTTTGAGTCAAATGAAAGTCAAACACATTCAAACAAATCATTTTAGATCGAAATACAGTCAAACACATTCAAACAAAGCTTTTTGAATCAAATGAAAGTCAAACACATTCAAACAAAGTTTTTTGAATCAAATGAAAGTTAAACACATTCAAACGAAGTTTTTTGAATCAAATAAAAGTCAAACACGTTCAAACTAACCTTTTTCGATCGAAATACAGTCAAACACATTCATAAAAACCTTAATAAATCAAAAGAAAGTCAAACCCATTCAATAAATGTATTTGAATAACAAGAAAGTCAAACACATTTAAACAAAGCTTTTTGAATCAAATAAAAGTTAAACACATTCAAACAAATATTTTTAAATCAAATGAAATTCAAACACATTCAAACATAGCTTTTGTATCAAATGAAAGTCAAACACATTCAAACAAAGATTTTAGAATCAAATGAAAGTGAAACACATTCAAATAAATCTTTTTGAATCGAAATAAAGTCAAACACATTCTAACAAAGTTTTTTAAATAAAAAAAAGTCAAACACATTCAAACAAAGATTTCTAAATCAAATGAAAGTTAAACACATTTAAACAAAGGTTTTTGAATCAAATGAAAGTTAAACACATTCAAACAATAATTTTTAGATTGAAATACAGTCAAACACATTCAACAACAGCTTTACGAATCAAAAAAAGTCAAACACATTTTAACAACTCTTTTTGAATTGAAAAAAAAGTAAAACACATTCAAACAAAGGTTTTTGAATCATAAGAAAGTCAAACACATTCAAACAAAGCTTTTTTAATCAAAAGAAAGTCAAACACATTCAAACCAAGCTTTTTGAATCAAAATAAAGTCAAAGACATTCAAACATAGCTTTTTGATTCAAATGAAAGTCAAACATAAACAAACAAAGCTTTTAGAATCAAATGAAAGTAAAACACATTCAAATATATCTTTTTGAATCGAAATAAAGTCAAACACATTCAAACAAAGATTTTTGAATCAAAAGAAAGTCAAACACATTCAAACAGAGCTTTTTAAATCAATTGAAAGTTAAACACATTCAAACAAAGCTTTTTTAATCAAATGGAAGTCAAACACATTCAAACTAATCTTTTTGGATCCAAATAAAGTCAAACACATTAAAAAAAGCTCAATGAATCTAAAGAAAGTCAAAGAAATTTAAACAAATGTTTTTGAATCAAAAGAAAGTCAAACACATTTAAACAAAGCTTTTTGAATCAAATGAAAGTCAAACACATTCAAACAAATCTTACTAAATCAAATAAAAGCCAAACACATTCAAACATAGCTTTTTTAATCAAATGAAAGTCAAACAGATTCAAACAAATCTTTTTCAATCAAATGAAAGTCAAACACATTCAAACAAAGCTTTTTGAATCAAATGAAAGTCAAACACATTCAAACAAATCTTTTTTGATTGAAAAACAGTCAAACACATTCAACTAAAGCTTTATGAATCAAAAGAAAGTCAAACAAATTCTAACAATTCTTTTTGAATCGAAAAAAAAAGAAAAACACATTCAAACAAAGGTGTTTGAATCATAAGAAAGTCAAACACATTCAAATAAAGCTTTTTTAATCAAAAGAAAGTCAAACACATTCAAACCAAGCATTTTGAATCAAAAAAAAGTCAAAGACATTCAAACATAGCTTTTTGAATCAAATGAAAGTGAAACTCATTTAAACACAGCTTTTTGATTCAAATAAGAGTCAAACACTTTCAAACAAATCTCTTTAGATCAAATTACAGTCAAACACATTCAAACAAAGCTTATTGAATCAAAATAAAGTCAAACACATTATAACAATTCTTTTTAAATCGAAAAAATATAAAACACATTTAAACAAAGTTTTTTGAATCAAAAGAAAGTCAAACTCATTCAAACAAATCTTTTTGAATCAAATAAAAGTCAAACACATTCAAACAAATAATTTTGAATCATATGAAAGTCAAACACATTCAAACATAACTTATTGAATCAAATGAAAGTCAAACACATTCAAACAAAGCTTTTTGAATCAAATGAAAGTCAAACATATTCAAATAAATCTTTTTGAATCGAAATGAAGACAAACACATTCAAACAAAGCTTTTTGAATCAAATGAAAGTCAAACACATTCAAACAAAGTTTTTTGAATCAAATGAAAGTAAAAAACATTCAAAAAAAAATTTTTGAATCGAAATAAAGTCTAACACATTCAAACAAAGCTTTTTGAATCAACTAAAAGTCAAACACATTCAAACAAATCTTTTTAGATCAAAGTACAGTCAAACACATTCAAACAAATCTTTTGGAATCGAAATAGAGTCAAACACATTAAAACAAAGCTTTTTGAATCGAAATATAGTTAAACACATTCAATCAGATCTTTTAAAATCAAATAAAAGTCAAACACATTAAAACAAAGCTTTATGAATCAAAAGAAAGTCAAACACATTCAAACAAAGCTTTTTGAATCAAAATAAAGTCAAAGACATTCAAACATAGCTTTTTGAATCAAATGAAAGTCAAACATATTCAAACAAAGCTATTAGAATCAAATGAAAGTCAAACACATTCAAATATATCTTTTTGAATCGAAATAAAGTCAAACACATTCAAACAAAGATTTTTGAATCAAAAGAAAGTCAAACACATTCAAACAGAGCTTTTTAAATCAAACGAAAGTTAAACACATTCAAACAAAGCTTTTTTAATCAAATGGAAGTCAAACACATTCAAACTAATCTTTTTGGATCCAAATACAGTCAAACACATTAAAAAAAGCTCAATGAATCTAAAGAAAGTCAAAGAAATTCAAACAAATGTTTTTGAATCAAAAGAAATTCAAACACATTTAAACAAAGCTTTTTGAATCAAATGAAAGTCAAACACATTCAAACAAATCTTACTAAATCAAATAAAAGTCAAACACATTCAAACATAGCTTTTTGAATCAAAAGAAAGTTAAACACATTCAAACAAAGCTTTTTGAATCAAAATAAAGTCAAAGACATTCAAACATTGCTTTTTGAATCAAATGAAAGTGAAACACATTCAAACAAAGCTTTTTGAATCAAATGAAAGTCTAACACATTCAAACAAATCTTTTTAGATTGAAATAAAGTCAAACACATTCAACTAAAGCTTTATGAATCAAAACAAAGTCAAACACATTCTATCAATGCTTTTTAAATGGAAAAAATTAAAACACATTTAAACAAAGTTTTTTCGAATCAAAAGAAAGTCAAACACATTCAAACAAATCTTTTTGAATCTAATAAAAGTCAAACACATTCAAACAAATATTTTTGAATCATATGAAAGTCAAATACATTCAAACATAGCTTATTGAATCAAATGAAAGTCAAACACATTCAAACAAAGCTTTTTGAA